ATGGCTGTTCATGGCTATTCAATATGGAATAAAAACAATCGAATTATAAAAATAAGTTTAAATCATTTTCAAGCCATCTTATTCTTAAATTGTTGTCATGTGAGCGCTGTTGACATTGGATGACAGTCATATGGTTGCTCATCAGCAGATGACGAATTCAACCATATGGCAATCATCCGAAATTCTCTGAAATATTCGCCGGAAATTTTGTGAAGTTCTCATCGGAAGTTCTCTGAACTTTTCGTCGGATGTTCTCAGAACTTCTCTGAACTTCTCCTTGGATGTTCGCTGAATTTCTTTTCGGAAGCTTTGAACTTCTCCTCGCAAGAGTTTTGAACTTCTCACCGGAAGTTCTCTGAAGCTCTCCTAGTTCTCTGAACTTCTCGGAATTCCTCTGGAATTCTTGCCGGAAGTTCAGTTAACTTCTTCTCTGACGTTTTGTGAAGTTCTCAGAAGATCTCTGAAATTCTCGTCGGACGTACTAAGAACATCCTCTGAACATTAGAACCTCTCTTCAGAAGCTCTCTGAACTTCTCTTCGGAACTTCATAGAACTTAAATGAAGATCTGTGAACCTTTCGGAACTTCTCTTCGGAGAACTCCTCGAACTTCTTTTCGGAAAATCTCTGAACTTCTCATCAGAAGTTCTCTGAATCTCTGGTCAGAAATTCTCTTAACTTCTTAGCGGGAGTTCTCTGAGCTTTTGATCGAACTTCAGGGAACTTTGATGAAGTTCTGTGAAGCTTAGGGATTTTTTTAAGTACTCTAAAATTCTGGGAAGTTCTGTAAACTTTTCCTTTGATGTTCTGTGAATTTCGCCTGAAGTTCAGATAATTTCGCCTGAACTTCAGAGAACTTTGCTTGAAGTTCAGGGAACTTCCTTTTATGATCAGAGAACTTCCCTTGAAGTTATCAGATCATTCGTCAACTGCATAGGAACTCTTTAAAGCTCATAAGGAAAGTTCTGTGAACTTCAAGGATGTATTGTAAACTCTAAAGAAGTTCAGCGCAGCGCAGTGATCTTCAGAGAAATTCTTCGAACAAAAATTGCTGAGAACTTCGCCGAATTTTGCGAACTTCAAGTTTAATCTAGTGATCTTCAAAGGATGAGGTGACATGTTACTTCATCTGGATAGCGAGCTACCTCACATCTCACACCACGCAGAAAAGGCCTGAAATTAAAATCTCTGCAGTATGCATAGCCTCTCTGAAGAACAGAGGAAATTGGTAAGAGTACTCTAAAGTTTGTAAAACCACTCTGAAGTAGGACCGACTTCATTAGAACGCATAGGACTTTTCTTAGGGTAGCAGAGTTTAGCTGAAGTACACAGAACTTCTCTTTGAACTTCTATGATGTCTGCAGAACAGTTTTGAGATGTTCAGTGTAATTTAGAGACCTCTACTAAAGCTATTTAAAGTTCATTGAGCTCATCTGAGCTTTTCAAAACTTCTATGAAATTTGTTAATTATTTCTGCTAATTGCAGATTGGTGCATAAAAAGACGTTGGAGAATATGATGGACTTTATGGAAAATGAATTGAACGGTTGGACTTATAAAGGAAGTGGGCTTGGAAAACGGTGCATGGTTTGCGACGATGAATAGCTTGGAGACTATGGGGCTTAGTTGGGTGATATTGAACTTGTTAGTGACTTAAGGGTGTGTGTTTTGGACTGGTTGGCAAATCGCTGGATGCCGTTGTCTAGTGTAAAGTGTTCAGTCTGTGCAACCTCAGGTTGAAGATGGTGACAAAGGTATTGTTTTACTCTTCAATGAGACCCAGCGATCTTCCGACCAGTCCTAATTACTCATCGTCAAGTCCACGGAAAACACTAACAACAAGTCCGATATCACGTTCGCGATTCATCGGATTACGCTGACGATGAGAAGCGTCCTTGATCAATGCGGCAGTACAGCATCTTCGAAATAATCTTCTTACACTACGTTACAATATCCAGCTGCTTAAGTAATTTTTTTTGGCATACATCACACAGCAACCTAAAACACATTGGCATGATCAAGATTAATCACGCTTGCCTGGACACCCAAGTAACAATTCAAGCTGAACTGTAAGAACAGAAGCTGATTTTTGGTTGATTTAAGGTGTACAAAGCTGATTAACACCACGCTAAATATATTAATGATTAGTGTGCATAAAGCGAATTGTATCCCCATAATTCAACCTCATTATGTTAGCTGAGCTAAAGATTAAACAAGACTTATTCAAGCTTGACACTTCTCCACAAATCAGTAATGCGCTACAAATATGTTGATAGCCTGATATAAGATTAGTAATCTTTTGCAGAATTTCGTAAAATGTCGTCAGCGTCGCTCGTTGCATTTCCGGCATTTTAGTTCTTCCAAATTCACTGCCTACCTTACTAATCCCAAGCAGCGCCAGCACTAGAGACAAGGAAGACATTTTTTTTAGAAATGGCTCCAGATGGAAGTGGACTACGACGTCGGAATTATTAAAACTTGTATTTCTGTGTTTCGACTGTTCGTTACTTTATATTCCACTGAACTTTAAGATCGTATTTCAAAAATATAACTCAATTATGGCCTCCAAATGACCTTCAAAATAATTCGCGCACTTGTGTCCACATTGTGTTACCTGTACTTGAAAATGAGAGGAATGTTTTACTGTCACAATTTGTTGCTTACAATTCTACATTGCTGTATAATACTCTTCCGGTTGCTATTATTCAACTTAAATTTGACGTGCTTCAAGTTAATGATCATACCTATTGACACACATATACCTAAGTGGTCCAGTAGGTATGGTTGATGTCTGTGAATCGGCGACTACTGGTTCGAATCCCGAAATGCAAAGGTTATTTTTAGATTTATAATATAAAAATCCAATGTAAATCCAATTAGTCAGCAACAAAATAAGACAGTCCCATAAAAAAAAAATAGATATGAAATGGTCTCCTATTCCATTTTTTTGAAATAAAACTAGAAGGCTGAACAAGGGTTGGAAAAGACCAGATTTAGATGTTTAAAAGCTGAACAAAGCAGTTATTCAAATTAAGGCTGAATTGAAATCGATGAAACAATACTTGTTAAGCATCAAATTGTTAACTGGGCAGCATCGTCGTCCTGGAATACATTGGGTATAATTTTCTTCAAATTTAACTGGTTTTATTTTATTTTATTTGTCGTCAATCAGTGTAGACCAACAATTTAAATAGGCGGACAACCAAACGTATCCACGCAATCTAGCACCAGTATCTGAAAGAACAAAACTTCCTTTATCGAATGGCATTATTAGTTTGCCAGGGTATGTTTTGTTTCTCAAGAAATTTGCGTTTAATGCTATTGTTTGAGTGTGGTTGTTCCGCCTATTTCAGATGTTGGTCTATTACTCTTCTCTGCCTGCATAACTGAATTCACTCACACCATGACCTTCTCTACTATGCGAAAGAGAATGGCTGCGTGCTTCCTTTTTTTTATCCTCTCTTGGTGCTTACCGAATGGGGTATTAAAATTGTGTCTAGTTTTATTAAAATCTGGATTAAATCGCGTATTATCCTCGATGGGGCTTACCGCCATTGGCCTAGTAAAACCCATGTGTATCAATTTATGGTGCTCCCAAAGGTCCAAAAACAGCTATCAAATTAACAAAATAACTTCCGAAATCAGTATGACAGTTGTTTGCCACCCCTGCTGGGCACGCTCTAGTGGTACACTGATCCAAAACATCCGCAATACTTCGAATGATTATTGCATTGCTCGAGCCCTTTAACAATATGCATTCGAATTTCGGATGATTTTCTTATGGTTGAATTCGTCGTCAGATGATGTACATCCATATGACTGTCATCCAAATACAGGATGATTTTCGTTTGAAAATTAGCTATAAAACATACGACACTCCGAGGACAAACATTTAAGAATAGTTTGACATGCAAGTGCTTTTAATTAGATTTATAATTTATGATTATCTACATTTCCATACTGAATAGCCATAATAAGCCATTCTATTAAGGATAGAAAATTTTTCCGTGGTGGAGGAAACCTCCTCCACCACGAATTAGCCAAACATTGGTTTTCATCCTTTACCTATGTTCGTAACAGCTCTGATAGCGATGCATATGCTTCCACCTCGTTTGTCAGCTCAGATCGGCAAATGACATTCGATAGAATTATTTACATCATCGTTTTGAATGATTTGCGTTATGGGGTTGAACCAATACCAAATGCATTTCGCATTTCAACTGAGGCCCTATCCCTTCTCATAACAATTTTCATCCAGTATTCTAGAGGAAAATCATCTGATTTCAAAACAACCATCGTCCGGTTGCAGGTATCATGCGAAAAAGCGATTTCGGTGCTTTGTTTTTAATGGTCTGAGGTTTCATTTGATCAGAGGATGATGTTTGTGTACAGTGTAGTACAACGGTGTACTCTGTATGTCCGTCGATAGTACTACTTACAAAGCAATACAAAACCAATGCCAGTTGAATCCTCTTAGCAAACGCAAACAAAATCTGGGATAAAGAAAAGCAATATTGAACATTGAATCAAATCACGCTTCCGTGTCGCGGTATTAATTTCCTCTCTAGATACCTCGCTGCGAACACGAAGGAAACTTGTCCAACTTCCGTCACGCCAGCCGTTTCCGATCTATATCTGTAACACCACAGAGACGGCACAACACAGACGCAGTCGATAAATTCCCCGAACCAATTTCGGATTGAATTGGAGTTTTTTTTTATCGCAAACGGCTACAGTACACTTACGATAATTCGACAACAACACGTTGATCCCTAATCGTTCCAACTCCGCAGGAAATATTGAGGTTAGACCACGTTGTCAAATTGACGGCAGTGTACTGTACTTGTCTTTATCGCACCTTCCCTCCCCCTCGCAAATCATGACCTGAACTCAATGAAGCATATTTAACCTGCTGCTCTTTTTCCAGCTAAATACGATACGTACTAATTTTCGTCAATTTTCTTCCACCTCCGTTCTTTTTCTCCTTCCCCACCGGTGTGCAGCAACGCTGAACAAACCAATCGTGCCGGAAAAGTACATCGATCCGACCATGATCGGAGTGCTGGTGGCGATGGCCGTCATGTTCATCATCATCTGCGTCGTCCTGCGGTTGTTTAGCAAGTAAGTAGCATTGTTGATTTTAATTGGCGATGAAGGGTAATTGAAAAAGGTAGGGGGCGAAGTTAATGATGAGAGCTGTTGAAGCCCTACACAGACTTGACTTGAGTGATTGACAGCTATTGATTACCACCCGAACGAACGGAGTTTTCATTCAAAAAAGGCAACTTCAATATTGATACAAATGAAGCTTTATTGGTACTGTCACTTAGTGCTAAATGTACCGGTTGACGTCCATTCCGGTTTCGTCGAACAGCTTTCGGAAGTATCCGTAGCGATTGAGCAGGAGATTCGCCGGGCTGTCAAACTCCACCGTTCGACCGGCGTCCATCACCAGCACGCGGTCACTGTCCATGATGGTGTGCAATCGGTGAGCTATCGTAAGGATGGTGCACTCCCGGAACTGGTGTCTGATCGTCGATTGGATCAATCTATCGGTTCTGGAATCGAAGGAAAATGTTGAAACTTAATAGGGGAAATGACGGCTTCGGCATGACAGACTATTTTCGGCAACCCAAATTGAAACAGTATTTTCACTGGATTTTCTTACGAAAACACTTTGCTGAATGCATGCAAACGATTCTTTATGCTTTCAGCTTCAATTTGACTATATTTTTATCACTGAGAAAAAGCAATCTAGCAGGGTTTTCTTGAAATGAAACACACGCACTACAAATTGTAGCTGATTTCGAGTTGCCGATAATAGAACAGCAGATTTACATGCAGTTCAAATGGAACGGTTGCCGAAGAAAAACTGGTTGCCGACAATACTCGCTCTCACTAGAGATGATTGGAGCTTTGTAAAAGCGTTTCAAAACAGTTTTTGACAATTCTTTCGACTGAAATTGTTAGAGCAGCTGGCAGCAAAAGATTGTAAACAAACCAATACTGCATATGTGTGCGTTCCATAGAGAAAAAGGCTATAGAAAGAAGGTAGCTGCTTAGGTTGCCGAGAATACGTAAATTCCCCTAGATGGTAGAGAATCTCATATTTTTTCATTTAAACCCACTCGAGCTTAAGGTCAAGTTTGTTCGACCTAGCTTATAAAAAATGCTATTTATTGAGAAAATTTCAAGTTGGACGCTTAAAAATCACAACATTTGGTCTTTTGAAATTTTGGCTTATAATAACTTTAAATTTTGGATCGCGGTAAGCCACGCTTGAAAGCTGCATGTTTTTCTTTTGCTGCGTATTTTTCACCAGCGAATTAATTTAAATATTCTGCTTTAAATTTTTTAATTTGTGTGCTGAAATTTTGTTTCAAGTGTTCATAAAGTTATCATTTAGTGATATATCGTGTTTTGCCTGCACACTAAAAAAATCTGAATTTTACTGGTGATGTAAACATCCATGCATGCAAACATTCATGCATGTAAACTTCCTTTTCACGTAAACTAGCAGCTTGCAAGAAATGTTGCAAACAAAGGTGGAAAGTTGCATACAATAAATGGAATATTGCATGACATGTCTCATAAATTTACACGATTTATAATGTAAATTTGTATGATTTATGACGCTCCATTTATGTGCATCATAGTAACGGAAATTTACATTACTTTTTTTTAGCTGTGTGTGTTTGCCTTGAGTGACTCGGTTGACCTTGAATTTAACCTCCTAAATATGTATACGACGCAGTTTCAGTTCTATTGTTCGGTGTCGGTTTTCATTGCCTCCCGGGAGCCCGGTTCTCCGAGTTCGGATGCTACACTTTTGGCGTGTAGTTCTATTGAGAGATCGGTCCGGTTGGTGAATTAGCCCGGGAACGTGTTGATAATATGTCCGTCGCGAGTTTTTGTGGTGATTCGGTGGCCAACGTTACCGTGAATCAGCAAGTTTTTCGCTTGCAAAAGTGCTCGGCTGCTGGTCTCTCTCCGGTGTCGGAGATTGCGAGCAATATGAAAGATGTCACGCTGGATACGCCCAAGACTGGACGGGTGGCAGTTGGTGTTCCTGGGGAAAGCACTAGACGCGAACCTCCCCCCAGATGACCATGGCAATGCAAGAAACTTTGTGTTCGTTGAAGGAAGTATTACGACAAAGGTGCATCACGAAATGAGTTGCAAAGCTTAGAGAAAATCAAAATCACGGAACGCATGGATTGGAGGATCAAATTAACATGGTGAGACCAGTCCAAATACATCTTAAAATTAAAAAAAAAAAACATGAACTAAATACGTGCCACGTTTGAAAAGAATATTTTCGAACCTGGAAGCGAGTATGTAATACCAATATCCATTTGATAACGGTGATGCATACATGCGGGGCTTATTGTAAGTGAAAGTAACCTCGGAATGGGCGTGACTCTGAATTTTTTTTCAGGATGGTTAGCAAATCGGGAGAAGCTGGTTAACCGGGAAATAACCAGGATTTTTAAAAGTAACTGGGAAAACTGGCAAAATCCCGGGAATATCAACACAAGCACATTATAAATCTTTGAAACTGCCGTGAACCTATCTTAAATTTGAGCGTATATGCACATCCCAAGGTTTTAAAGCATGCTACAAGTCTAAATCATAGTCTGCAGAACCCTCATAAAACCCCAATTGCTACTTGGGATATGTATGGCGACCCAAATAAAGCCAAACTATTTGTAGCAGGGCCCAACAAAGTCACTTTCAATCGAAAATCGTCAAGCGACGACGAAGCTGCCAACCAACTTTCTATTGAAAGTCATTCTGTTAGGATTGGGCGATCCTGGATCGATCTTTGGAAGATCGTTCTTTTTCATCTCGAAATCCGATTTTTCGGATCGATTCTTTGTCCACGGAAAGATCGAACAAATCGATCTCTTCTTTCGATCTTTTCCATCTTCATAAAAAATAGGTATTACATTTTTTAAGTGTATTTACATCGATAAAACAATTTACTCTCACCACAGACTGCGTTGTAAATTTAACGAACATAACGTCAACATCAGCATCGCTCCCTAAAATGACGTCACTATTTGCGTTTCCTATATTTACGAATCCAACGACATTTGAAGCTTTGGGCTACCTCCCTCCTGTGCTCATTGCTCCTTACCGTTACGACAACATTTAATTAAATATTATAAAGGCAAGAATTTCTAGAAGCACCAACGTAAACAAGCGTATTAAAATAAAAATCAAAAGATCGATCTACCAAAGATCGATTCTTTGGTACCGATTTAATCAGTACATCGATTCTAGAGCCAAATATAAGATCGATCCGTCAAGATCGATCTTTCTCTGAAGATCGCCCAATCCTACATTCTGTCTTCTCTTCGAGCAGATCCCCTCCAACATCAACAGAATTACTTTCGATCAGTCTTTATGCTATTTGTTTTGGCTTGACTCGTGTTCATTTCGTCTTTCATTGTCAAATGAACTTACCTACTTTCGCATTGAAGCGAAGCTGTTCGATCTAAATTCGCGCAGTTTTTCTGACTTTTGTTGATTGTTCACTCGGTTCATTTAAGCGCATGCGCATAGATCCGTGGATTTCAAATTTATCGCACGTGGAGTTCAAATTTATCATTGTCGGTTGGTTTGTTTACCCATTAAGATTGGTATTTTTGGAATCGGGGTGACGTCTAGATACCGGACATCGATGACCGACGCCATTTTGAAACCCAAGATGGCGGCTGCCGGTTTAAAAAAAAGTAGTAAATACTGTCAAATACTCATTAATCTAGGCATTTTTTTTTTAATCGGGATGACGTGTAGAGGCTGGAAATGGATATCCGACGCCATTTTGAAATCTAAGATAGCGGCTTATAATTTCAGAAAATGTGGGAAATACTGTAAAATACCCATTAATATAGGTATTTTTTTAATCGGGATGACGTCTAGAGACTAAAATTCGTCATCCGGTGCCAATTTGAAATCCAAGATGGCGGTCTTCGGTTTAATAAAAATAATAAAAAAAAATATATTATCATATACCCATCAATATGGGTATTTTTGGAATAGGGATGACGTCTAGAGAGTGGAAATAGATAGGCAACGGCATTTTAAAATCCGAGATGGTGACTTCCAACTTAAGAAAAAATGGGAAATACTGTTTGTTAAAATCCAAGATGGCGGCTGCTGGTTTAAAAAAAAGTAAATACTGTCAAAATTTAATATCCATTAATATAGGATTTTTTTTAATCGGGATGACGCCTAGAGGCTGAAAATCGATATCCGACGCCATTTTCAAATCCAAGATGTCCCTGCGATTTCAGAAAAAGTGGGATATACTGGTGTCGATCCATCAATATAGGTATTTTTTTTTTAATCAGGATGACGTTTAGAAAATGAAAATCGATATTCGACGCCATTTTGAAATCTAAGATACTGGCTTCCGATTTCAGAAAAAAAAAACGGGAAGCACTGTAAAATATCCATCAATATGGGTATTTTTGGAATCGGGATGACGTCTAGAGATTGGGAATATATATACGACGCCGTTTTGAAATTCAAGATGGTGGCTTCCAGTTTGAGAAAAAGTGGGAAATACTGTCAAATACCCATCAATATGAGTATTTTTGGAATAGGGATGACGTCTAGAGAATGAAAATCGATATTCGACGCCATTTTGAAATCCAAGATGACGGCTTCCGATTTCAGAAAAGGTGGGAAATACTGTCAAATACCCATCAATAGGGTATTTTTGGAATCAGGGTCACGCCTAGTGATTAAAAATATATATGCGACGCCATTTTGAAATCCAGGATAACGGCTTCCAGTTTAAGAAAAAGATGGAAATACTGTAAAATGTCCATCAATATGGGTATTTTTAGAATCCGGATGACGTCTAGAGATTGGAAATATATCTGCGACGCCATTTTGAAATCCAAGATAACGGCTGCCAGTGTAAGAAAAAGTGGGAAATACTGTCAAATACCATTCAATAAAGGTATTTTAGGAATCAGGATCTCTACGTCTCTGACGTCTACCGATTGAAAATATATGCGACGCCATTTTGAAACGCAAGATGCCGGCTTCCAGTTTAAGTAAAAGTGGGAAATACTGTCAAATACCCATCAATTTGAGTATTTTTAGAATCTATAGAATGAAAATCGATATTCGACGCAATTTTGAAATCCAAGATGGCGGCTTCCGATTTCAGAAAAATATTGAAATACTGTAAAATACCCATAAATATGGGTATTTTTGGAATCCGGATGACGTCTAGAGATTGTAAATATATGTATAAAATTAATATGGTTTCTTCCAGTTTAAGAAAAAGTGAGAAATACTGTCGAATACCCATCAATATGAGTGTTTTTGGAATTGGGATGACCCCTATAGAATTAAAATTGATATCCGACGCCATTTCGAAGTCCAAGATGGCGGCTTACGGTTTCAGAAAAAGTGGAAAATACTGTCGGGCTGAATCGGGCTGACGTCTAGAGATTGGAAATAGATATGCAAGGCCATTTTGAAATCCAAGATGGTGGTTTCCGGATTAAGAAAAGTGGTAAATTCTATCAAATACCCATACAAAAATAGGTTGTAAAGTATGTATCTCACTCAGAACAAACCTGTCAATTCAAGAGCAACATGTGAAAAGGGCACACAAGGATTTTATAAACAAACCTTCTAATGCCCTTTTCTCACCACCCATATGAAACCAACGCAAACCATCAACATCATAGGGTAGGGAAAACTATCTTCTTCCAGATGATGTTGTTGGTTTGCGTGGGCGACCCTCGGTTGGCGAGAAAAGGGCCTACAAATGATTGTTTACAAAAAGCTTGTATGCCTTTTTCACATGTGGCTCTTGAATTTAGCTTTAAAATCCAAGACGGTGGCTTCTGATTTTAGGAAAGGATTCCAAAATGGCGCCGAGTATCGATTTTCGCTATCTACGCGCTGTCCTCGTTCCGAAAATACCCATATCTTAGGGTATTTGACATTTTTTTTCTGAAACTCGATGCTCGCCATCTTGGATTTCAAAATGGCGTCGCACGGAAAAAAAATCCGAACATCCATGCATGCAAACATTCATGCATGTAAATTTCTTGTTCACGTAAACTAGCAGCTTGCAAGAAATGTTACAAAGAAAGGGTGACAGTTGCATACAATATATGGAATGTTGCATGACATGACACATAAATTTACACGATCTGTAATGTAAACTTGTATGATACATGATGCTCTCTTTATGTGCATCATATTAACGGAAATTTACACTACTTGTTTTAGCTGTGCGGATTTCGATTTTCGGCATCTACGCATTATCCCCGTGCCAAGAATAGCCATATATTACGGTGGTTGACACTTTTTCTGAGCTTGATGACCGCCATATTGGGCTCCAGAATGGCCTTGTTAATTTAATTTTTGGTTTAATTTAAAATAACAATTTATGATACCATCCCTATCGGCAACCGGTATTGAGCGGATACAATCCCAATCAAGGGGTAGGCCACGCCTCCCACCAAACTTTGGTCAACTTTTTTCTCAGTGTGCCGCAAGTGTGCCAATTGTGCCAGTCATAGAGCAAGCTGCAATTGTTTGTAAAATTTGTATTTCTGACAGCTTGCATGACTTGGTTTGCAATCGCAAGGATAACATTGGGCTAGCGGCAACCAAGGAGGAATGCAATGTCGAAAAAAAACAACATCGAAACATACTAGGAAGAAGCAACCGCCGTCGGACGTATCACAAGAAAAAGTGATCCCATAAATGTGGATGTGGTTGTTACCTCATGGGAGCTGATCGGACCTGATTCTACTGTTTGGTTGCCGATGATGGGCCAGCAGTGCTCTCATTTCATTTAATGAACAATCCAATGTCTACGAGGTTGTTCCGAAGGTGTGCCGATGGATGTGCCCAAGCTGTGCCGAATTTACTTTCGGCACACTGTGTTGAGTGACTTGTTGGCGGTGGCATCTATCGGAAACTACACATAATCTGTTTTCCGATAATTGTTCTCAGAGGACAGTGAAGTGCAAAACATGTCTGGTACTTCTATATATGCATTTAGATTAACATCCGAAGTACCTCCTTCTTTACACATTCTACACTCGAAATAGCTCACCCATCACCCATCATATGAATGGGGCGGGGCAGAAAGTATCGTTTGTGCAGAATATATAAAAAGGAGGGACTTCGAATGTTGATAAAACGCATATATAGAGGCACCAGACATGTTTTGCAGTGTCAGGTACTCTATTTTGTAGTCTGTGAAAGGGAAATCAAAAATCGAGTGTCTTAAAAATACATGGCATGTTGAGAGATCGAGCTCGTGAGAGCTAATTTTCTCTCATAAATTTCAATTTTTTGGCTCTCTGGGGACTGGTAGTAAAGCAGGTAAAACTGTATGGGGAAAAATCATTTATATTTAATTGTGGCTTGTTTAACAATAATTTCCGGGAAAAAACTGAACAACAAAGTCCCTGATTAATTTCTTTAGGTTGTCGTTCACTTTTTTGACCTGAATATGCACCGAAAGCGAATTATTCCCACTTCTCTCAAATTCTATATGGGGATTTTTATCACTTCCGACCAGCCGAACAGCGCCATCTCTGTAGAAAATGGCCAGACGATATGATTTATTGAAACAAGTCTTTGCTTAAGATGAAATGAAGTGATGAACTTGACGAACGAAACAAGCGATAGCCAAGTAATGTTTGACAGGAGAAATGTGCGTCGTGATTCGACAGCGAGAAACACAATGACTTGCACGAAACTGATATTGCTCGAAATGAAGCGGTTCTGCGGAGAGTTCATTTTCTTTTCCTTGTTTCGAAAATGTAGAACCCTGCCATCAAGTATTTTATCTAATATGCTCACATTTTTTTGAGGCACATGGGTAAGGAGATTTTTTTCAAACGATTGTTTTTGAGTTTGCAATATTTTCATTTCAAGTTGCGAATCGAATCTGGATGAATGAAGTAAATGGAACAACATTATAGAATTCCTAAAAAATATTCAGGCACAAACAATTTATTCCATCTACATACGGCTTCTGTATCACTATGCAATGGAAGCATGAACCCCACTACGGGCGAAATAGCCAATTTCACGAAAGCACTGGATGCGGATCCCGTTCAGATGGAAGCAACTATCCGGATTGTGGAAGGAAAAGCACAATATTTTACGAATATTTTCAAGATGCGAAAATGTAGGAAAGCAAATGATTAAAATCCTGCTTGTCCTCAACTAAGTAATCTTTGAGAGTTTCCACATTTGTTAAGGTTCAATTTACTTCGGTTCGTTTTCCAAAAATTAGAGGGCAGTTATTTACGCATCGTCAGATTGCAAAACGCTGTCGTTATCTTTATGAAGATCAAACTGACAACTGCTTTTTGCAATCTGAAATGATGCATCGCAAATAATATGAGTTTGAATGTTTGGAAAATGCACCAAAGAAAATTGCGCCTTAAGTTAGCGCTTTCATTAATCATTAATCGAGCAGTTTTGGGACGACCTTCTAGCAGCGATTTTACGGAAATGAAACAATCAATTTCAGATTTTTCAAGCATAAGACCCTATTTTCTCGAGGTTGTAGAAGAAAAAATATTAAAATATTGTTCCACGTTAAAGTTCGAGTGGTAGGAAACGTCATTTTAAACTGCTCGAATGATGTGATCCATTGCCATTCTTGTCCCAACCGGGAATTTAACCCTCCACGCCCTGCCTGCATGATGAATCGTATCTTTTCTGATTCTGACTAAGCAATTGTAACAAACACACCCTGGAAGCCTTAATTCTGTTTACGACCTTTTACAACTTATCAAGATGGTGAAAAATTTAGCAACTGTGTAACCAAACTGTTGCAAGCCATAAAGAACAACAATTCCGCTGAAATGGGGTCCCCCATCGGAACGTTCCATCAGTGATAAACCCTTTTATTTTCAATTTCACCCTAGCTGTCGTCACAACGTCAACAGAATTGAGATTTATGATATCAATCGAAATCGGGGTAAATCCAATTACCTGGCCTTAGTCTAAAACAAATGGCTACTTACTCCGGATCGACGCTTGCGGTCGCCTCGTCCAGTATCAAGATCCGACTGTCCCTCAGGATGGCTCTCGCGAGGCAAATCAGCTGCCGTTGACCGACACTGAAGTTGGCACCTCCCTCGACCATTTTGGTTTCGAGTCCGGCGGCGCCGTAGCTCGACACCAGCTCCTTCAGTTCCACCTTTTTTCATCGGACAACGTGCGTCGTAACATGTGCAACATATTCCAAGAAGAAAGAGTATACCATTGTTAATATTTAAACCAACACTTGCCGCTTCCATTTGCCAAAAATAACTTAAGGGCAATAAAACCTTTCCCCTGAAAAACAAACTAAAATTCAAATATTCAGTATACCTGCGCCAACGCCTGCCAGATCCTGTCGTCCTCCAGCGCCCCGAAAGGGTCGAGATTCGTTCGCAAACTGCCGGAGAATATGGCCGGTTCCTGGGGGATAATCGAGATGGCAGCCCGGAGGCGACGCAGCGGAATTGCCCCGATGGCAATTCGGTCGATTTCGATGGTTCCTCCTCCGTCGTCGTCGGTTTGGTCGATTGGTGCCAGCCGAAAGAGGGCCTGAATAATCGATGACTTACCGGCACCGGTACGGCCGACGATGCCGATACGTTCCTATTGCCAAGCACGCAGCAGAGGAAGAAAGGTTTCTTTTTTAGGATCGATCGAGATGGAGCGGGTATTTCCCTTCCTGCGGTTGGGTTTGTTGGATTTCTTCTGAGACATGGATGGGAAAAGTGTCGCACGATTGCCACCTCGGTCGTTCGGGGGTGTAAAGTTTACAAATTAATGACGATTGGATGGAGAAGGGGTTTCTTATAGTTCGCCGATGGGAAGAAAGTATTGGGATTTCGCAGAAATGTGATTTCTAGACGGTTTGATGATTTTCGGTGAAATGGGGTAATTATGTCAAATGGGTTTTTTAGACCTAATGATCCATGCTGAATAAATACCGTTGTTAATAAGTTTTCTCATGAATAGGATTCGATAATTGGTGATTAATTTCGCTGAAACGACATTTTTACACGGTAATTTGTGGTAAATGGCAGATTCGATGAAACGGCTAATCTGCAGTTAAATCATAAAATTATTTGATCTGCATACTTCAATCATTCAAATTGTTGAAAACAAATATTGAATCATATAATTAATCTTGAATAGTTTCGGTGAAATAGGATAATTATGGGAAATAGGTTATCCAACTAAAAAAAGTGCAGAAGAATGTCCATTTCCCACTGCTAGGAAAACCATCATCGAACGGATGGTCACTTTTTCCGATTTCGTTCATCTCCCAAGACAGCAAAACGGCAAAGTAAAACAAATGACGGTTCTTGTGACCCACCGACTGCCGAAATCATGGCAGCCGAAGATTGGATAACGAAGCTGCTGTCGAATTGAATCAATTGAGTGAACCTTTCTTCGAAACTCGACCCGATCCTAATTAAATCATCAACCTCCGCAAACTGGGGATCCCCTTGCTGGTGGAATCTAATTTCCACTCCATCGAAATTTAATAATCCCAAAATCTACCTACCTTGGCTTTAATCTCGAACGTAAGCTCCCTCAGCACCGGTTCGGCTTGGGGAGAGTATCGCAAGGACACGTTTCGGAACACGATGCCCCCTTCCTGAGGCCATTTCTCTGGAACGTTATCGTTTGATGGTGTCTCCTCATCGTCCTCCTCCTCAAGCCGAGAATACTCCAGAACCCGTTCAACCGAAGTCATCTGATTCTCCAGTTCGGCAGTCTGCCTCAGTCCCCAGTTGCACATCCCGATCAAGTTCAACACCTGCGTGATGGCCAGTCCAACGTTTCCGCTGACGATTTCTAGCCGTACCAAAAACAAACCAATCAATCACCGGTTACTTCAGTCCACGGAATCGATCTTACCTCTGCCCAACACCGGGAAGCTGAACACTACGGCCGCAATGTACAACGTACAGATCAGATCCAGCCAGAAGGCAAACCCCCGGGTAATGGCGCCGAACAGAAACGAAGCCGACGAATTCAGGTCCTGTCGGGCGTCGAACTGTGTCATCATCTGCCGCTGCGCTCGAAACACCCTAACCGTAACCAATCCTTCCACGGTGGCATTCGTGTGGGCAAAAATCGGGCTGCGTGCTGCAAAATTCGAACACAACGTAAACAACTTCACCACTCAAAACGGTTGCTCAAAACTCACTGATCGCCTCCACTCGTTTGACATTGCGTGCCGTCTTCAGAAACATGAACCGGAGGATGTAGAACAGGACGGCCATGACGGCCGTCGGACCTAGAAGCCAGTAGTTCGCCAGCGATACGACCACGATGATTCCCGTCAACTCCAGGAAGAACTGTACGAATCGGAAGTGGTCAAAATGGACAATCCCCAGCCAAGCTTAACAAGCGATACTCACATACAAACTGTCGATCATCACAACCGGTAGACTGGCATCGATGAGACCAATATCCTTGGAGAAGCGATTGATGACCCGCCCGGAGGAATTGTTGTTGAAGAAGTACATGGTCGCTCGGGATATGCCTCGGTAGAGTGCGGCGTGTAGATGAAGCGAAGCCCGGAGACACATTTCGAAGAAGGCGAACGAGTTAATCGATAGCACCAGGGTCAGCACGATGAGTGAAGTGTACAACAGAACGTGAGTATCCGTGCTCCAGGTTGCGTCGGCGGAATCGGAGTACTGCTCCTCCCAGTTAACCCTAGAAAGAAGCTTCATTAGACAAAGGAGGACTACCCCAACATCGTTAACTCACCAGATGGATAGGAAGTAGTCTATTCCAGTGGAAGACGTCTGCCAAGCGAGGAGTAACAGCGCTACTAACGCAACGAAAAGACTGCTGTTTACCGATTTCAGGAAGTCTTTGTATACCTTGAATCCAACGTTTCCATCATTCTGAGTTTCCTCGACCTTGGAACTAGGCATATCTTCCCGATTCTCGTCGTCGTCCACAAGTGGCTTTGCTTCTGTAAGCTCCTCGGAATCTTCACCCGTGGATTCCCTTGCCTGTTCTATATTTTTAAAGTAATCTCGCACTTCTTCGTAACATCCCTTAGCTTCGATTTCACCGTCCTTCATAATCAAAATATGATCCAACCCGTTCAGATACTGCAGCTGATGAGTGACCAAAATGCAGATCTTGTTCCCCAGAAATCCCTGGATACACTCGTCGTAGATTTGCTTCCCGACATGGGCATCCACCGCCGAAAGTGGATCATCCAACAGGTAGATGTCTGCCCGTCTGTAGATCGCTCTAGCTAGATTCACTCGAGCCTTCTGCCCGCCGCTTAAACTAACTCCCCGCTCTCCAACCACGGTCTGATCACCATTGGGCCACAACTTCAAATCCCTCTGCAAGGCACACACCCTCACCACTTTGTTGTAGCGATTCTCATCGAACGGTTCAATGAATACAATATTCTCGCGTACTGTTCCTTCAAACACCCAAGGCTTCTGTGAACAGTAGCTTACCGTTCCATTGATCGTAACTGATCCCGCCTTCGGCGTCAACTCCTTCATCACCAGATTCAGTATCGATGACTTCCCGCTACCGATTTGTCCGATAACTGCCCAAGTTTGACCCTTGCGCACTGTCCATTCGTTCAACCGCAGTCGGAAGTTGGACTCGGCCCATTCAGCTCGCATCTCCTTGACCTCAATACCCTCTCCGCAATTCAGTTTTTCCTTGCCACCCGCATCATCGTTCATCTGACCTTCCTCATCTAGGAATTCCTCAATCCGCTTCAGTGAGACCCACGCTTCGGCGCAAGACGTCACGGCCAGCGGCCAATACTCCACCATCGTGTGGTTAATCACACTGAAGAACGACACCAGCATGTAGACCTTCATGGCCGTCAGAGCATTCCCGGCGTACACGTACGCCACCAAGCTGGCAAAGATCGATATCTTCGGGATAATCTTCAATGCGAACAGTCCCGACCGGATAAAGGCGCTTCCTCGCAGGGCCCGAATCTCGTCCCGTCTCAACCGGTGCACGACCTGCTCGAACGGCCGCTCCCATACGTACATCTTAATGACCTGAATTGCTTGGATCACTTCGTTCGTAAACTTGACCCGCTCGTCGGTGGCCATGGCCGTCTTTAGACGGAACGAAGCCGCCTGTTTACCGAGCCATGCCTGGCCCGGTATGAACAGCAGAAGAATGGCTATGCCGATCAGACCGGTTGGGCCGATTAGCCGGTAGACCAGAACGGAGACGATCACCAGCTCGACAGGACCTTTCCACAGGTCGTTCAGGAAGATGATGGCGTAATCGAACCGGCTGACGTCGTTGGACATGAGGTTGATGATGCGACCGCTGAGTCCGTCCGCCGACAGGGTGGTTGTCAGTTGGAGGGCCTGCAATGATCAAAATTTATTATAGGACTGTGCAGAAGATTAGAGCTTTGAGCAAGTGCTGAATGGCTTGATCCATTAATAGTGCTGTCGAGGCTTTGAAAGAATTCTGATCAGGGCTTATCAGAACTAGATGTGCCAGCAATGATGAACTTTAGACTGCAATCAAAACAGTGCCAAAGATGCTGAAATGGACACCTAGAGCAGAGTTGTCATGGTAAGTTTAGAGTTGGCTAGTCACTGATTTTGCATATGTGCCCCCCGCCCACCAATTGCGGGAAGTGCACACACATTTAGAGTACGGGTAAAATTTGTCCGTAATCAGCAAAACTTGAAAGTACTTATTTTCTCGGGATTAGATTTTAAATTGAACGGTGAATTGAAATGCTACGCTTGACCTTCTTCTCTGACGTTATTGGTACTACCCTAAGGATCTCTAAACAATAAATTTCTCAAGACTACCCTGAATTTCCCAGATCTTTTTAAAAGTTCACGCAATTTTCCTGAAGATCATTGATGTATCCAGAAGCTTCAAAAAATTTCCTAAAGTTCCATGGAACATCCCTTAAAATCTCTTAACTTTCCTGAACTTCTCTGGACTAACCTGAAGTTTTCGTTTCTCCATGACATAGTTCCCTAAATTATCAAGAAGTTCTTAGAAGTTCCTTATCGTTAAAATTTTTTCCTGACATTGATGGAAGTTCCATCAAAACCCTATAATATTCCTGAAATTTTTGGAACATTCCTGAGATTTTTGGAACTATCTATAATTTCTCGTAAATTATTGAAAGTTCCAGCAATTAATTTAAAAAAAATAACTTTGAAGATCTATGATCATTGAAGGTTGAACATTCCAAAAAAATAATTAAAGCGCCTAAAAATCTAAAAACTTCTTTGAAGTTTTAGGGCTTCTCTGAAGTTTTGGAACATTCCTGAGATTTTTGGAACTATCTATAATTGTCTGAGTTTCTAGTTACGTTGGACTGAATTTATAGAAATTATACATTACAGATCTTTAAATTCCTCTGAAAGTCTGGACTTTCCTTAAGTTATTGGGATTGCCCTTAGGATCTCTGAGCTTGTTTGAAGATATCGAGAACTAGCTTGTCTGAGGTTCGTGGAATTTCTAGTTGTGCAGCTCTCATGAAGATCTACACCAGAAGATTTTCCAGGAAAATTTCAGGACTTCTGTTATGTTTCCTAAATATGAATGAATTTTCTAAATTCATCTGGAGTTTTCTGGACAAATTCTCCTACAATTCATGGAGCTATACTGAATTTATAGAAATTATCCATTACAGATCTTTAAACTTCTCCAAAAGCCTGGAGTTTCCTGGAGTTATTGGGACTGCCCTTAAGATCTCTGAGCTTATTTGAACATATCGAGATCTAGCTTGTTTGGTTCTTGGAATTTCTAGTTGTGCAGTTCTCAAGAAGTTCTACACCTGAAGATTTTCCCTGGACATTTCTGAACCTTTGTTATGTTTTCAAAATATGTTTGATTTTCTCTAAATTTACCTAAGGTTTTCCGGACTAAAGTTTCGTGAAATTATCCTGGAATTCATGCATCTGTCCTGAATTCATAGGAATTAACCATTACAGATCTTTAATCTTCTCCAAAAGTCTGAGATTATTAGGGCTGCCCTTAGGATCTCTAAGCTTGTTTAAAGATAGGTTGTCTGAGGTTTTTGGAATTTCTATAAAGTATTACCAAGTTCTTTGGACTTCTCTGAAGTTTTTCCATGAAAATTTCTGGACTTCTGTTATTTTTCCAAAAATACGTATGTATTTCCCTAAATTTCTCATGAGTTTTCTGAACGCAAGTTTCTCAAGAGTTTTCTGAACAAATTCTCCTAGAATTTATGGAGCTCTCCTGAATTTATAGAAATTATCCATTACAGATCTTTAAACTTCTCCAAAAGTCTTGCCTTTCCTGAAGTTAATGGATCTGTCATTAAGATCTCTTAGCTTGTTTGAAGATACTGAGAACTAGCTTGTCTGAGGATCTTGGAATTTCTAAAAAAAAATATGAACCTGATGGAAGCATTTTAAAGTACTCAAAACTTCCCTGAAGTGCCCCATATGCCCATCACTCATCAGTTCATGAATTTTTTTTTGAAATCCCTAGTATTTTCTCGGATCTTCCTTAAAATTAAAAAAATATGTGGATGACTCTAAATCTTCCCTGACCCCCGTTATTTATCTGAGGATGTTTCTGGAACTACCTTGAAATGAATGAAACTGTCCTGAAAATTTATGTCAAAGTTTTACCTGTCGTAAAATTCTCGATATAGGTATTTAGGGTAATTTTCCTGAAGTTCCCGTAATTTTCCTGTTATTCATGGAACTATTTTGAAGTTCTCAGTTCAGCCCTGAATTCAATGGAACAGTTCATGAAATTTTCCAGAAATCTATGGAACTGCCCTGAGGCCATTGGAACCTAGTATTAAGAATATTTCAACTTTTCCGTCGTTCTGGACGAGTTTGAAGTAGACCAGTTCCAGGTCAAATAGGATAAAAAAAAAGACTCGACCTTCATGTGATTACATTACAGTCATCTGAACGGGCCTCATGGTTTGTTCTGGAGTTCCTCCGAACTTGTCCTTAAAGTCGTTAAATTTTGCCTTCAAACTGCCTTAGATTTGCATTACTTTTGGAACCCGAAGGTAGATTTTTGGTGATAACTACACTGTAGTCTTGCAATCCTGATCTAAGTATTCCTAGGGTAGGTTCACGGCAAGTCCAGGTTTGAGTATATCATGACTAAGTCAGTAGTACTAGTAGGACATTTATATAAAAAAAAACTTGTATGCAAGTCTTCCAAAATGCAAGATACTATGATTCCGGAGGCTAACGGAAAGTTTGTCCAGTTCTAATGAAACTCTTCTAGAATTCATGAAGCTATCCTGAATTTATAGGAATTATCCTTTTCAGATCTGTAAACTTATCCAAAAGTCTGGACTTTCATGAAGTTATTGGGTCTGCCGTTAAGATATCTGAGTTTGTTTGAAGATATCGAGAACTAGCTTGTCTGAGGTTCTTGGAATTGCTATTAAGTATCCACAAGTTCTTTGAACTTCTCTGAAATTTCTCCCTGAAAATTTCTGGACTTCTGTTATGTTTCCAAAATCTGCATGATTTTTTCTAAACTTCTCACTACTTTTCTGTGCTTAAGTTTCGTTAAATTCTCCTAGAATTCACGGAGCTGTCCTGAATTTAAAGAAATTATTCCCAAAGTCTGAACTTTCCTGAAGTTATCGGGACTTCCCTTAAGGTTTATGAGTTTGTTTGAAAATATCGAGAACTAGCTTGTCTGAGGTTCTGAGAATCCACAAGTGCTTCGGACTTCTCTGACGATTTTTAGAGAACTTCAAAAACGTCCAGAGCTACAGGGAAGCTTCAAAATCGTTTAGGGTTGGTTTCGATAGCTTCAAATTTCAGGAAAATTTCGAGAACTCAGAGATGTTATGTCTCAGAACATCCCGGCGGTGCCGACTGGGATTGAACCCAGGCCTGCTGGAGTGAGAGGTAATCACGCTTACCACTACACCACTGGCACCCCAAGTAACATTGTAAGCTTTATAGAGGTTTTATAGAATTCTACAAGTTCAAATCATGGTCTACGGAACCCTCATAAAACCAAAATAATTACTTGGGACCGCTATTTGCAGGAACTTTAGTTGAGTTCTGTTATGTTTAAAAACCTTAATGGAAGCTATGTGAATTTTGGGCAGTTGCGTGAAAATGGCGAGCACTTCAGAGAAGTTCCAAGAATTTCTGGTCAATTTCAAAAACGTAAAACCAGTAAATTCCTGGAAATAGTGACAACCTTCAAAAAGTTCCACAAAAAGGTAGTCTAGAAGTAAGTTGAATTCCATGAACTTCAGAAGAATTTTGTGAATTTACATTAATATTAACGAACTTCACGATGGCTCCATTTGCTTCAAGAAAATTTCAGGAATTTTACAAGACAAACTCCAGAAAACTTCTGGTATGTTTAAATACATTTAGGAAAGGTCTGAGATCACCAGGGCAGTTCCATAAACATCTGAAAATGTTTGGGAACTGTATGGAAGTTTCGAAATTTTTTTAGGAAATTCGATTAACTTTGGGAAAAAATGCAAGAGCGTTACAGATGTTCCAAAACCAATGTCCAGAAAACTTCGAAGAATGTGTGAGTCTTCTGAACGTCAGAAAAATTGCGAGAACTAGAAGGAAGTTCCGAGAACATCAGGAAAGTTTAGAAATCATTATATTAGATCCATTAACATCAGAAAAATTGCGAGAAACTTCAAGAACCTCTTCGAGTTTGTTGGAAATTCTAATAAATTCAATGAAGTACCGAAAAATTCAGGGTAGTTCCGAGAACTTATAGAACATCCAGAGCTAATAGGAATAAAACTTCCTTTTTGGGGTGGTTACGATAGCTGCAGTTCCATAGATTTCAGGACAATCCCGAGAACTTCTGTGAAGAACGAATAGCTTCAGGGCAGTTCCATTAACTTCAAGAAAATTTCAAGAACTTTAGTTGTGTTCAGTTAAGTTTAAAACTCTTAAGGAAAGCTACGTTAATTTAGGGCAATTCCATGAATATAAGGTTATTATTATTATTTAGCTTTATTTAGGAGGCTTTCAGCCTTAGGCTGGTTCGCCTCCAAAGGAATATAAGGTGAATTTCGAGAACTTAAGTACAGTTCCATTAAATTCAGGAAAATAGTGACAACCTTCACAGAAGTACCGAGAAATTCAAGTTAGTCCAGATAACATCAGGTAGTTCAGGGGGCCTCCCTTAGCTCAGTCGGTACAGGCGCAGCTACAAAGCAAGACCATGCTGGAGGTGGCTGGGTTCAATTCCCGGTCCGGTCTAAGAATTTTTCGGGTTGGAAAATTTCTCGACTTCCCTGAGCATAGGGTATAATTGTACTTGCCACACAATTATACTAATGCAAAAATGGTACAGGCATCGAAAGCGCTCAATTAATAACTGTGGAAGTGCATCTAGAACACTAAGTTGAGAGCACGCAATAAGCTAATATGCAATATACAATAAGCTTGAAATGCGAAGAAGAAGAAGAAGAAGTTCAATGAACCTAAGAAAAAAAATCGAACCTCCACAGAAGTTCCGAGAAATTCAAGGAAGTGTAGAGAACGTCTGAAAGCTTAGAGATCTTTAGCGCAGTTAAATTAATGTTAGGGCAATTTCAGGAACATCGCACAGTGGCACGAATATGAATAAAGACGGTCAAAAATATTTTCTACCCTTTTTCGACGTTTTAGAGACTGGGTGTCTTGGGAGAAGTTGCTCAAAATTATAACTCGCATCTTTTGAAATACACACCTGAATAATCTTTAAGCTAGTATTACACATCCAAATTCTAACTTTTTCCAGTTACGAGATAATGGTTCCATGTTTTGCACAAAGTTGCAGAGCAGTTGATTTCATGAACATTTGCTAAAGACATCAAATTTCTACATCATAACTCTGTAGAGCTATAATAGATTTTCTTTTAAGACTACCTTAATATTGGTTTTTTAAGTTAATTAGTGCTTTTTTCAAATTTGATCAATTTATCATGTTCTAAGAAATTGTTGGCATCATTAAAATATACAACTTTGCTGAATACACCAATGCTTTTCATTGACATCCATGTGATATACAGCCCATCAAGCGTTTTTGTGACGTCATATTCAACGGCTCGAAAAGAGGGTGGGCGGGCCCTGGCGGGGTCTAAAACTGGTTGTATTTTGAAGATTACCTTATAAAATAGTACTTCTGAAAATTTCAGCGTTGGGTACTGAGGGGTACCTAGCCAAATCTCGATTCGAAAATGTCAATATTATATACAGCCCATCGGACGGTTTTGTGACGCCATATTGAACGGCCCGAAAAGATGGTAGGCGGCCCCTGGCAGGGTTTAAAACCGATTGAATTTCGAAGATTACATTATAAAATAGTACTCCTGAAAAGTTCAGTGCTGGGTTTCCAGGTGAATCTAGTCAAATCTCGAGTCGAAATAGTCAATGTTATATGTATCCCATCATGCGTTTTTGTGACGTCATATTCAATGGCTCGAAAATAGGGTAGGCGGGCCCTGCTGAGAGTTTTGATCAATTCAGGGCAGCTTCATGAACTTCAGGAAAATTTCGATAATCTTAAAGAAGTTCCGGCAATTTCAGGGAAGTCCTGAGAAGCTTAGAAAACATCAGACATTGCACCGAAATCCAAACATTTACAGGAAAGTACTATTTACTTCAGGAGAATTTTGAGAAATTCAGGCTAACTTTGAGAACATCCCAGTTCCGAGAAGCTTCGGGAAAACGATAGTCAAAATCCGAGATCTTCAGAGAAGTTTAGAGATGTTTAGGCAGTTCCATTATTTTCATAGATGTTCCGAGAACTTCAGAGCAGTTTCATCAAATAATTTTTGGAACTTTCAAGAAGTTCCTAGACATTATGGTATTATGCGACTAGAATTTTATAAAAGTTTCAAAGACTTCGGTTAATAAGCATCGAGAACTTCAAACGTATACAGAGAACTTCAAAGAAGGTAGATATTTTTTGAGGGAAATTCCTTGGGCCCACTCTGAGTGAACGCTCACCAATCATTAAATCGGTGATTGTGACTCTCTGATAGCGAAATTGTTGCTTCATGTTCCTCACAAGTACAAAATATCATTATATCCAATTCCATATTTTTTTACAGCGAAGTGAGTGGAAGCAACCCTGATTTAAATTGAACGTTAAATGTTCGATGACTGAGGAGAAAGATAACTACGTCTGTTAGTGTGTGCTATATAACATGGAAAGCTCATTCGGCTCCTGCATTCATCGCCTCTTTTGAAAGCATATGCTAACCAGTTAACGAAATCAGCCTAAACTGCAAAAAGTCGTTCAATCTGATTGGAAAGCCTGAGTGTTTTCAACTTATACACGTTAACAGTTTTGAATCCCATTGCGAAGCAATGGAACTCAAAAGCACTTCATCAGCGGAAACTGAAATCCCACACCTTACCAATGCTACTGACTTCTACGCTGCTCGCTGTTTGATAAACCACTTCCGCAAAACGTCCCTCACAGAAGACCACACCGACAGAACGACACTCCATCACTCCGCTTATTGTGCCACTCCGCTGGACAATAACCGCAGCGGTGACAGGCAATTCATTTCCAGCCAGCCGAAATTGCATTCCTGCTCTCATTCATTCGATTCACTCATTAATTCTATCTCTGTTGAAACCGGAGACCACCTACCTTTTGATAAATAAGCGCACAGCATCCGATTCGCAGCTTCATGCCCACCTGCAGCAGAAACAATTGGTACAGATGAAAAATGGCCAACGGGGCGACCACGGTCAGAACCAGTCCGCCCGCATACAGGTACGCTTCGGAGATCGGCGAAGAGTCTGCCTGATCAAAATACAGAATCAATTGGCCTAGCAGGAACGGTTGAGCGATTCTGAAACGGGAAATTATAGCGGTTGATAAGCGGATTTGGAATGAGTTACTGAGTGCCTGCAGAAAGAAGTCATCTCCTCTGGATGGGTGGCACCAGCTGACGCTAATGGCTCTATTATGCATCATTCGGCGGTTACGTGGGAAGTAAACAAAAACAAGATTATGTTTAACCTCTTATTCTTTCCACGTGTGTGTGTGTGTGCGCAGAACAACAACTTAGTGAACAATAAAACACTGACTACCACCTCTACGTCTATAGTCTACCACCGAAGGCAAAAAGACTCAAAGAAAATTGCGTAGCATAACCTACAAAGAGGCGCTGGGATGAAACCATTTTCCATGAATACCAAACAGAGCCCGGCACTCCTACTCAGCGCCTACCCCGTCCTATCTAACTGGTGCTTGACTTTCGTCTCTCTTTTTTGCCGCCTTCTATTGAAAGGACGTGCTTCTATGGGTTCGATTGGGGCGACAACGAAAGGTGCAAGGGCTCTAGAGTAAAAGGGATGCTTTTTCCTCTCTCTCTAGTCTCTATTCAAGTGGGATTTCGACGGTGGCTTGAGTTGCTGGAAAAGTGAATAATAGCTCGCAAGAAGTACCACTCTGCCGAACGTGTCAAGTCCTTCTCTCTGAAGCCTTTCATGACATGAGGAATGAGACTTTTTATTGCCGCTGCAATGATTTCCAGTTCGTCCTAATCCTGTGGCCATAGGCTTATGAGAAAGCTACTTTGAAGCTTGATTAACTCTTCCTACATCTGCTTCTTCTTCTTCTACCTGAATGCTTACGCTTCTTTATAGGACCGTTTTGCCTGTCCTCAACCACAAACTTAGTGTTCTTCCACAGTTATTAACAAGGACGTTTTGAGATATTTAAGTTTTTTATTTTCCTCAAAAGCCCAACTTGGTCTCACACGTCATTTCGATCAGAAGTGCTGTTTTTCGTGGTACAATTTTTTGAAACATTTCAAAGACGCCACTTTGAAAACTTTACAAGTTCCAAAATGGTCGAATTTTAGCTAAACTGTAAATCATTGCCCATAACGAACAATTACGCAAAGTTTCATGCAAATCACAGAAGATCTCGTTGTTCCGATTGGTCATTTGGCGTGGAGCTGCTCCTAGTGAGCGAATTCCGTGGTATGACACGAAAGAAATCAGTCAATCAATTTTCACGAACTTTTCAAAAATCTCTATCAATTCTAGAACTTTCCAAAAAATTCCAAAAATATTGCAGAACTTCCAGAAGTTCCGGGGATTTCTACAACATTTCGATAACTTTACAGAAGATCCAACAACTTCCCAGGCGTTCTGTGTGCTTCTCACACATTCCAAATACTACTAGATCTAGATCTTCTAGATCTCGGAACGTCGCAGAAATTCCGACAGTTTCCAGAAGACCCTCAAACTTCCTAGCAGATTCATAATAAATTCTAAAAACTTCCCAGAAGATCCGACTACTTCCCAGAAATTCTAAAAGCTTTCCATAAGTTCCAAGATTAGCTCAGAAATTTCGCAAACTTCACAAAAATTCTGAGAGCTTTCCAGAATATGGAACTTCGCAAAAATTCCCAGAACCTTTAAAAAAATTCAAGAACTTTCCTGAAGATCTGATTTTTCCCACAAATTTCCCACAAATTCCGGAAACTTCCAAAAGTTCAAAAAATTCCCCGAAAATTTCGAAAATTTTCCGGAATATCCGATTGCTTCCCAGAATTACCGAGAGCTTCCACAGTAAACGAGAACTTATCTAAAAATCCTAGAAGTTCCCAGAACATCCGAGAATGTCTCAAAAATTCCAAAAATATTAGATAACTTTTCAGAAGATCTTGTAACTGCACAGATGTTCCGGGGACCTTTTATAAATTTCGAGAACTTTACAGAAGATCCAAGAACTCCCCCGAAGTTCTGTGAACGTCTAAAATATTCCGGGTACTCTTAAATATAGATCTTATAGGTCTCGGTACGTCCCAGATATTCCGAGGGTTTCCCAGAAGACCCTCGAACTTCCTAACAGAACCATAATAAATTCTAAAAACTTCCCAAAAATTCTAAGAGCTTTCCATAAGTACCAAGATTATCTCAAAAATTTCGCAAGCTTCACAAAAATTCCGAGAGCTGTCCAGAAGCTCCATAAGCTTTCCAGAAGAATCAAGGACTTTGCAGAAGTTCCGAGAACTTTAAAAAAACCGAGAACTTTCCTAAAGATCGGCGAATTTCCCACAAATTCCGGAAACTTCCAAGAAATTCTGAAAATTCGGAAAAATTTCGAGTACTTCCGCATGCTTCCCAAAATTACCGAGGGCTTCCACAGTTAACGAGAACTAATCTAAAAATCTTAGAACTTCCCAGAACATCCGGGAATTTCTCAAAAATTCCAAAAATATTAGATAACTTTCCAGAAGATCTGGTAACTGCACACATGTTCCGGGGCCCTTTCATAAATTTCGAGAACTTCACAGAAGATCCAAGAACGCCCCAGAAGTTATGTGAACGTCTAAAAAATTCCGAGTACTCTTAAATATAGATCTTATAGGTCTCGGTACGTCCCAGATATTCCGGGAGTTTCCCAGAAGACCCTCGAACTTCCTAGCAGATCCATAATAAATTCTAAAAACTTTCCAGAAGATCCGATTACTTCCTAGAAATTCTGAGAGCTTTCCATAAGTACCAAGATTATCTCAGAAATTTCGCAAACTTCTCAAAAATTCTGAGAGCTTTCCAGAAGCTCCATAAACTTTCCAGAAGAATCAAGGACTTCGCAGAAATTCCGAGAACTTTTCAAAAAAATCCTAGAACTTTCCTGAAGATCTGAGAATTACCCACAAATTCCGGAAACTTCCAAGATATTCCGAAAATTCCGAGAAATTTCCAGTACTTCCGAATGCTAGTCTCGGTACGTTCTAAATATTTCCAGAGTTTCCCAGAAGACAGTCGAACTTCCTAGCAGATCCATAATAAATTCTAAAAACTTTCCAGAAGATCCGATTACTTCCCAGAAATTCTGAGAACTTTCCATAAGTACCAAGATTATCTCAGAAATTTCACAAACTTCACAAAAATTCCGAGAGCTTTCCAGAAGAATCAAGGACTTTGCAGAAATTCCGAGAACTTTAAAAAAAACCGAGAAATTTCCTAAAGATCTGCGAATTTCCCATAAATTCCGGAAACTTCCAAAAAATTCCGAAAATTCGGAAAAATTGCCAGTACTTCCGAATGCTTCCCAAAATTACCGAGAGCTTCCACAGTAAACGAGAACTTATCCAAAAATCTTAGAACTTTCCAGAACATCCGAGAAGTTCTCAAAAATTCCAAAAATATTAGATAACTTTCCAGAAGATCTGGTAACTGCACAGATGTTCCGGAACCTTTCATAAATTTCGAGAACTTCATAGACGGTCCAAGAATGCCCCCGAGGCTCTGTGAACGTCTCAAAAATTCCGAGTACTCTTAAATATAGATCTTATAGGTCTCGGTACGTCCCAGATATTCCGAGAGTTTCCCAGAAGACCCTCGAACTTCCTAGCAGATCCATAATAAATTCTAAAAACTTCCCAGAAGATCCGAGTACTTCCCAGAAATTCTGAGAACTTTCCACAAGTTCCAAGATTATCTCAGAAATTCCGCAAACTTCACAAAAATTCCGAGAGCTTTCCAGAAGCTCCATAAGCTTTCCAGAAGAATCAAGGACTTCGCTGAAATTCCGAGAACTTTTCAAAAAATCCGAGAACTTTCCTGAAGATCTGAGAATTACCCACAAATTCCGGAATTTTCCAACAACTTCCGAAAATTCCGAAACATTTCCAGAACTTCCGAATGCTTCCCAAAATTACCGAGGGCTTCCACAGTTAACGAGAACTAATCTAAAAATCTTAGAACTTCCCAGAACATCCGAGAACTTCTCAAAAATTCCAAAAATATTAGATAACTTTCCAGAAGATCTGGTAACTGCACAGATGTTCCGGGGACCTTTCATAAATTTCGAGAACTTCACAGAAGATCCAAGAACTCCCCAGAAGTTCTGTGAACGTCTCAAAAATTCCGAGTACTCTTAAATCTAGATCTTATAGGTCTCGGTACGTCCTGAATATTTCCAGAGTTTCCCAGAAGACCGTCGAACTTCCTAGCAGATCCATGATAAATTCTAAAAACTTTCCAGAAGATCCGATTACTTCCCAAAAATTCTGAGAGCTTTTCATAAGTACCAAGATTATCTCAGAAATTCCGCAAACTTCACAAAAATTCCGAGAGCTTTCCAGAAGCTCCATAAGCTTCCCAGAAGAATCAAGGACTTCGCTGAAATTCCGAGAACTTTTCAAAAAAAAATCCGAGCACTTTCCTGAAGATCTGAGAATTTCCCACAAATTCCGGAATTTTCCAAGAAATTCCGAAAATTCCGAAAATTACCGAGAACTTCCACAGTAAACGAGAACTTATCTAAAAATCCTAGAACTTCCCAGAACATCCGAGAACTTCTCAAAAATTCCAAAAATATCAGTTCAAGATTCACCTTGATCAGTGATGCGACCGTAGTTTTGATACAATGTATTCATTTCCGATGTTGACGAGAATTTCTAAAAACTTCCCAGAAAATCTGAGTACTTCACATAAATTCTGAGAGCTTCCCAGAATTTTCGAGAGCTTCCCATAAGTACCAAGAATATCTCAGAAGATAGCAAAAACTTCCGTTCATTTACAAAAAAAAAAAACCTAAAACTTCCCAAAAATTCCGAGAGCTTTCCGGAAGTTCTATAAAATTTCCAGATCTTCCCAAGATCTTCCTCGAAATTCCGAGAACATCCCAAAATTTTTGAAAACTTCCCATCAGTTCCGAGAGCTTTCCTGAATTTCCGAAACCTTGCCTGGCATTCCGAGAACCTCTTAGAAGGTTTTCGATTTTCCGAGAACTTACTAAACATTTCGAGGACTTCACAAACATTCCGAGAACTGCTCAGAATTTCCAACAATTTCCCAGAATTTCCGTCAGATTCTAACAAGATGTGAACATTTCGAAGAACAAACGAAAACTACCCACAATTTCTAAAAGCTTTCTAGAAGATCCTTCCAAGAACTGTTCAGGAAATTCTTGAACTTCCCAGTAATTCTGAGAGCTTTCTAGAATTTTAGAGAGCTTCCCATAAGTTCCAAGAATATCTCAGAAGATAGCAAAAACTTCCGTTCATTTACAAAAAAAAAAAACCCTAAAACTTCCCGTAAATTCCGAGAGCATTCCGGAAGGTCCATAAACGTTCCAGAAGAATCAAGATCTTCCCAGAAATTCCGAGAATTTCCCAAAATTTTTGAAAACTTACCATCAGTTCCGAGAACTTTCCTGAATTTCCGAAACCTTGCCCGGCATTCCGAGAACCTCTTAGAAAATTTGAGATTTTCCGAGAACTTACTACACATTTCGAGGACTTCACAAACATTCCGACAACTGACCAGAATTTCCGAAAATTTCCCAGATATTCCGTCTGGCTTTTACTAGATGTGTGCACTTCGAAGAACAAACGAAAACTACCCACAATTTCTTAAAGCTTTCAAGAAATTCCTTCCAAGAACTGTTCAGAAGATTCCTGAATTTCCCAGAAATTCCGAGAGCTTTCAGAATTTTAGAGAGCTTTCCATAAGTTCCAAGAATATCTCAGAAGATAGCAAAAACTTCCATCCATTTACAAAAAAAAAATCCTAAAACTTTCCCTAAATTCCGAGAGCATTCCGGAAGGTCCATAAACGTTCCAGAAGAATCAAGATCTTCCCAGAAATTCCGAGAATTTCCCAAATTTAATTGAAAACTTACCATCAGTTCCGAGAGCTTTCCTGAATTTCCGAAACCTTGCCCGGCATTCCGAGAACCTCTTAGGAAATTTGAGATTTTTCGAGAACTTACTAAACATTTCGAGGACTTCACAAACATTCCGACAACTGACCAGAATTTCAGAAAATTTCCCAGATTTTCCGTCAGATTCCTAAAAGATGTGTGCACTTTGAAGAACAAACAAGAACGACCCACAATTTCTTGAAGCTTTCTTGAAGTTCCTTCCAATAACTGTTCAGAAGATTCTTGAATTTCCCAGAAATTCTGAGAGCTTTCTAGAATTTTAGAGAGCTTCCCATAAGTTCCAAGAATATCTCAGAAGATAGCAAAAACTTCCGTTCATTTACAAAAAAAAATCCTAAAACTTCCCGTAAATTCCGAGAGCATTCCGGAAGGTCCATAAACGTTTCAGAAGAATCAAAATCTTCCCAGAAATTCTGAGAATTTCCCAAAATTTTTGAAAACTTCCCATCAGTTCCGAGAGCTTTCCTGAATTTCCGAAACCTTGCCAAGCATTCCGAGAACCTCTTGGAAAATTTAAGATTTTCCGAGAACTTACTACACATTTCGAGGACTTCACAAACATTCTGACAACTGACCAGAATTTCCGAAAATTTCCCAGATTTTCCATCAGATTCCTAAAAGATGTGTGCACTTCGAAGAACAAACAAGAACGACCCACAATTTCTTAAAACTTTCTTGAAGTTCCTTCCAATAACTGTTCAGAAGATTCTTGAATTTCCCAGAAATTCTGAGAGCTTTCTAGAATTTTGGAGAGCTTCCCATAAGTTTCAAGAATATCTCAGAAAATCGCAAAAACTTCCGTTCATTTACAAAAAAAAATCCTAAAACTTTCCGTAAATTCCGAGAGCATTCCGGAAGGTCCATAAACGTTCCAGAAGAATCAAGATCTTCCCAGAAATTCTGAGAATTTCCCAAATTTTTTGAAAACTTCCCATCAGTTCCGAGAGCTTTCCTGAATTTCCGAAACCTTGCCCGGCATTCCGAGAACCTCTTGGAAGATTTGCGTCTTTCCGAGAACTTACTTAACATTTCGAGGACTTCACAAACATTCCGACAACTGACCAGAATTTCCGAAAATTTCCCAGATATTCCGTCTGACTTTTACTGTGCACTTCGAAGAACAAACGAAAACTACCCACAATTTCTTATAGCTTTCTAGAAGTTCCTTCCAAGAACTGTTCAGAAGATTCTTGAATTTCCCGGAAATTCTGAGAACTTTCCAACAATTTATTATGTTATTCGACTGGTATGTGGGGAGATTTATTTTTCATGGCTTTCTAAGTCAGTTGTGCATTTTCCTATGCACAATTGACCGTTTGGATTACCCTAGACTGGGAAAAACCTTTAAAAATAAATCTATCCAAAAATTCCGAAAACTTCCCAGATGGTCCAGAAATTCCAGAAAATTACTCAGAAGTTCAGAGAACTTTTCAAAAATTCTGGGAACTTCACAGAAGATCTGCAATTTTTTCTGGACATCCCAAAAACTTCTCAGAAGATCAAAGAACTTTACCATAATTCAATGAACGTCCCAGAAATTTTGAAATCTTACCAGTAGATGTGAAAACTTCCTCGAAGTTTCGCGAATTACCCAAAATGTAAGAAACTGGAAAATTCCGAGAACTTCCCAAATAGTCCGAGAACATTCCACATTTTCTTAGATTTTCTCAGAAGTTCTGAGAACTTCCCACAAGATCCAAGTACTTCTCAGAAATTGCTAGAACTTCTCAGGAGTTTGAAGGATTTCCCAGAATTTACATGAACTTTCTAAAAAAAACTTCCGAAGATCCTGGAGCTTCCTAGAAATCCTAGGACTTTCTCACAAGTTTAGAGAATTCCAAAATCTTTTGTAAGTTTTAGACATTTCTGCTAAGTTCTAAGAATATATGGGAAGTTCTCGGAACATCTTGAAACTTTCGGGAGGTTCTTGGGTTTTCTAACGTTCTCGAAATTTCTGGGACGGTTTAAAGGGACCGTTTGAAGGGACCGATTAATGGGACCGAGATAACCATAGGACATGTAGCAAAAAGTGATCACGTATCGAGAAGTGGAGGGTTGATTGTAATTTCAAAATAATTCTGTTGGGGATTTTTAGAGAATATCGGTAAAAATTCTGAGGTGACTTCCTAGCATGTTCCAGGTAAAATTCCAACGACCGCTTGAAAGCTTGAATGTGATTCATATGAATTATAATATTTTATGGGAAATTAACCACTTCATTCGAGCAGTTGAAATGACATTTTCTACCACTCGAACTTCAATCAGAAATGCCGTCTCCGTGCTAAAAAATTTTGAAATTTTTTATAAATGCCATTTTGAAAATTTCACAAGATCCAAAATGGTTGAATTTTAGCAAACAATTAATTCGCCTGGAACGGCTTTATTCAAATATCTTCATAGGTCTGCAAAAGTCTTCACAAAACAAGGAATCTCTTTAAAATGTCTTACAAGAATTTCAAATGTCTTCAAAATTAATGCAAGTTTTCAAATCTGGCCTCTCTGCTTTCGTGTGTTGTAGGACTCAGAGATGCCAGATGCATTAAGAAAAATTTGTCAACGAGATCGACGTTTCAGCGTTTAATATTTCAGGTGTATAAGTCTTTACAGAAGTTATATAACTCTTGGAAATCAATGCTAATTCTTCAGCGAACTTCGTAGAAGTTTGAGGAATTTTGTAAAAAGGATCGTTAAAGATCCTCAGAAAACATCGTACAACTTTAGAAAATTAGCAGAAGTTCTAGGAACTGCGTAAAAGTTTTGGAAACATTCTAGAAGTGCAGCAAATAGGAGTGAAGAGAATTTTATAAACTTTCAGCCAATAGTGTCTAATTACAGAGAAGTTGGTAGAATTTCATCAAACTTTGTATAAATTGAAATTTATAACTTCATTGAACTTCGTAAAACTGCAGAGATTTTGTTGATATTCAGGCGACATCGTAGTAATTCATGAAATTTATTAAAAATTCAGAGAGCTTCGTATAGTTTCTGGGCAGTTCGTATAAATTCAGCGAGCTTTGTAAAAATACAGGAAAACATCTTAGGAGTGGGAACATTGTACAAGTTTAGGGAACTTCGTGGATGTTATGGGAGTTTTGTTTCATTTCCGGAAACTTCATAACAGTTCCGGGAGCTTCTTTTAACTTCTGAGCACTTCGTTAAAGTTCAATAAACTTGGAGTACTTCATGGAATTCCATTGAAGTTCAAGAAACTTTTAAAATCTTTAGAATACTTTGCTGAAAATCAGTTAAATTCAGCGATTCTTGTAGAAATTTGTGAATTATGTAGGAACTTTCAGGGAGTTTTGTAAAAGTTCAGACATTGTAAACTTCTTAAAACAAGGATTACCTTCATTCATTTTTCAAAATAGAAATGTGTTATTATGGTATTATGGTATCATAAGATGTTGAAATGATATTAATCAACATTTTCAAGAAGGAGCATGAAATATGAAGTCAAAATCTTCATTTCTCTAACAAAGTCGTCACGTGTCTCCGTAAAATTCAAAAAGGCTGTCTTGGAAGTCTTCTTCAGTTTCTGCCTGTCTTCAAACAACTTCACTAATCATGAAATGTCCTCAAAATGTCAACACAGAAATTAAAAATGTATCTAATCTGGCATCCCTGATGAAGCTAACCCACCCCCCGTACTGCCATCTAAAAGCCCGATTAGCCGCAGTTCATGTTGTAGCATATTTTTGCCGGCTAAAAAAGGCAAAGAAAAAACTGCAATTCACCAAACACATTTTAAAACAACGTAAATCCCTTTCAAATTATCTCACCTGCAAGCAGATTCCAACCAGCTGTAAATTCCTCCGAACAGAATCACGCTTGGGCCGTAAATTTTGAACACCACCTTTAGCAGCCGCCAAGGTCGGTGCCGTTCTTTGTTCCCATTTCCACCGACACTTTCCGCAATCTTCTTCTTTTGCTGCAACTGCAACTGCACCTGCCGCAACCAACCGGCACTGAAACGTGCACCGATTTTCTCGCTCCGGTGTCCCGATAGCGTTTGGTAGATATCACCGGTCCCGATCTGCCGCCGCTGTCCCGTTCGTAGCAGTTCAACCAACCACCTTGGGGAAGTAGATTCGCTTAGTTTGACGCTTCGTATTAAAATTCACTCCGATTTAGGTCTCTTACCAGAAAAAGTACTTGCTAAAGACACTCGCCTTGGAATAAGGGTGCACCGGTCGTTTGTCCATTGCTGCTGCTTCTGCTGCATCGCCAAACCATTTGGCACCGGTTGTGTGTGGATGATAATTTATGGTTTTTCGTGGTCGCACGGTACCAATCGAATTCTAACCGCCGCAGATAGGAAACAATCTAATCTCTTTCATGGTGAGCGTTCGCTGGGACGGACGTGGTTGCAACAAAGAATGATCGATGTCTGCCACCGCTCCGCTGTCTGTCTGGTTGAATTACGAAAAATGAAAAAAAAAAAATGGTTTTTAATGGTTTTTTAACCGCAGTAGGTGATGATGATTCAGGCCTGCTTTGATTGTTGCGCCATTGTTGATGGACGTCAACAAACTGCCGCCGGCAGACGCAACAGTCAACAGCACTCTGTTGTTATCAACGCTATCTACTGTGGGTATCATTCCGTTGTTTCGTGTTTGAATTCATAAGTTCGCTGATAGCCACTTTGGTGACGTACAGATACGACGAGAATTTTTACGAAGACTGCAATAGGCAAGACATCGAACCGCGCATTTTCGTAGATATTGATCACAGTGCTGTTGAGATTTTCAACAATTGGCTGGTTCGTTTCTTAGAAACTCCAGAAGGGAGCTTTCCTCATTGCAGAGTTGAGAAGGGTTCCCGTAGTCCTAAGTTATGTTGATTTTTTGAACTGGAGAAGTTATTGAGCGACTTGAACAGGAAGCAAATTCAAAGTGAAAGACCAGCCTCCAAGGCGCATGAGGGAATATCTTCATAAAGGTTGGAAAAATCCGTACACATTAAAAACGCTGCCATTAAGGCATTTTTTGAGATTATTTTTTTCCAAAATTTCACTGAATCAAGCTAAGAGTGTAGTGAAGAATCACAGTAGGTATTGGTTGTCAGGATCCTGCACGCTCGAAATTTTTAGCCGTAGACTAGGATTGTAAATAGATAATCTTTAAAAAATGACGAAGGTTGAAATTTACAGTAAGATAGATATAGTTCTTTGACCTTTGACCTAATAATAACGAACTCTTGTCTCGTCATTTTTGAGTATTTACCAAGGGGTGGTCACTCAACACACTTATTTTCCGCCAACGTTTTTCTCAGTGTGTCTGAGAAAAACCTTGGCTGTTCCGGCAGTGCCGAGAAGTCATTGAACTGACTTTTTTTGCTTGTGAATAATGCCTTGTTTGGCAACCCGGTATTTTGACAGCTCTTGTTTTTGTATTGTTTATCAAAACTTGAGATGACCCAGGAGTAGGTAGAACATTTCCGTTCCGAGATACGGACCTTAGGGGTGGATTCTGCCAATTTTTGCAACATTCTATGCTGGACGATGGAATGGTTGGTGTAGCAGCCGCCGCCATGGATGGTATGTCTTCTAGCACTTCCTGTCAGAGGCGAGGTCGGATGGTAATGTTTTTGTTTGGTTATTGACTTTCCGATTAACTCAATCACCGCTGTCAGCAGTTCTTCATCTAATGAACGGATAGAGCCCAAATAGAAGAAAATGTGGACGAGACCAAGGACGGGTCTCCCACCACGAAAGTCAGAGTAACGATTTTGTTAACGGAGCTGGAGGATATCATGAATGGGATGAGCACTTTGTCCAGAGTTAGAGTGATAAACTATCTTGGATGAGCATTTTTCCGTTAATGTTGGAATTGATTGCGGAGTGTTGCTATGCAAGCGAATGCTTCGATTTGTTCACGCTGGATGATCAGAATGATTGTACGCAGTCCGGCGCAGAATGATGTAACAATTTCTTCGAACAGGCATTGGAATGTGCGCTGACTGTGTTTTGAGGAATCTATTTCGATTTTGGAGAATTCATCGTGGCATTTGGTGGAGATTCACCGTTGTGGTTTGAAAAAAAACTACAAGAGATAGCCCTATGGGGTTGTACGCAATGGTGACGTAGGACTACGTGGTCTTATATAATAAATCTTATTTGTTAACTGCAGCAGGAGCTTGCGTTTTGTGTAGGAATAGGAATTTGAGCGTAAGTATAACGCGCTTGACATAGATGGCCCACAGCGACTCACGAAGAGCTACTGATTCCGATCAATAGCTGTGCGGTTTCTTCCTCCTTCTATGGATGCTCAATAGACTGATGCAAAATTTGAAATTTTCCCTCCACAGTGCTCAAACGGTTCCAAATTGGGCTCTGATTAACCTCCCAACACTTGAACTAATTTAGTGAGAAACTGACTTGGCACAAACCATTTGAAGTTCATATGGAAATTACTATGGGAAAACAAATGTTTTTTTTTCATTGCCTTCTAGCCTTTTTACACATTGTACTATTAACAAATTCTATTGCTATTCTTATGGGAATTTTTATCAGCTACAACTTTGCAGAAAATCATTTTTTCAGCCAAACGTCAGATGAAATAGTTATTAATTGTTTAAGAGATTGATAATCTCATGGCAAGATTAAGCAACTGTATTGTGGGCAACACTGTATTCTTCAGTGTGACATAGTAGCCATGATTTGTGTCCTCTATTCTATGCGCCATAAACACCAATGTTGCCTGCTGAACAGTTGATTGAGCTAATCATAACACATCAGTGACTTGAATGCTTAATAATTTTTGTTCCTTACATTTGATCGAAAAGCAGTCTTGAACAAAGTTGTAGCTGAGAAATTTTCCAACAAACTCAGCTATCATTTTCTTATGTAGACTGGTGAATTTTGAGATAGATATGAACCGACATTATGGTTTCTCCATAGTACTTCCCATATATACTTCAAATAGTTTGTGCCAAGTCAGTTTCTCACTAAATGAGTTCAAATTTTGGGAGACTAATCAGGTCCCAATTTGGAACCGTTTGAGCACTGTGGAGCGAAAATTTCAAATTTTGCATCAGTCTAATGCTCATGTGAGCTGCAGCTCGCAACGAAGGCTTTCGTTGTGTACTGGAGAACAATATTGAACGCCACGCGTTGAAAGCACTGCTGCTGCTGTTGTTGCTGATGCCGAAGACCGGACACCACCACACACGGTGATTGGACTGAATCCGACGCGGTTGAGGGTAGCCTTGATAGCTAGCTTGCGGGGAGCCTTTCTTTGTGTACTGAAAAACACCACCACTCACCACGTGGTGATTGAATAAACACCGGTTGGTGAGACCGGATAGAATTCATCTTTGAAATCTGTGGTAGGGAAATCGCTTTGTCGTAGGCAATCGGTGATAATTTTAATTATCATAGCAACATTTGCACTTTCGTGCCATTTTCAATAGTGACGTTTTGAAAAATGATAATGTCTTAAATTTAACGGATGCGTAGAAATATTTCTGATCGATTGGTGTTAAAATTATTGCAGGTCCAGGGGCAGCTGAGTTTTTTTTTCTCCTCTGTTGTTACATGTTCCATTTTCGATTTTCACAAAGTGTACCACCAAATTTGAGCCCAAAATATTAAGAAATAAAAAATCCCACCCATGGTGAAAATAGGCATTTTTTTACATTTTGGATACCTGCCGGTAATCAGCCTGTTTACTGTAGTAACTATAACAAAAACAAAATGTCGGTACACCTATACATAATCTACATAAAAAAATCAAAATGACATTCTAAGATCGCAAATAGCTTATTTGGTTGTGGAGTAGTCTCTTCTGAAAGATGAAATTTTAAAAAATCTCGAAAATCCAGGGTTGTAGCCGAGAGAAATCTAGGCACTTCAGAGCAAAATTAAAAAGGCGTTTGTTCAGAATGCCAAACTAAGCGTTGGGGCCAAGTTTGGCTCAAATCCGTGAGATCGACCACAGGTGGCGTACCCACTTGAGCTGGAATGACCCATATTAAAACGCATACATATTTCACGAAAAATGATAAATATCTCGCAATTTATAAGAGCTAGAAATTTTGGGGATTCAGCAAAGTTGCTTAAAATAACATTTGCTACAACTTTATTCAAGAAGTTAAGTCTCTATCTGAATCAGATAAAAAAAAAATATTTATTTTATCTCACTTTTAGGTAGTTTAATCACCAAACCGTCTACATCAAAAGAAGCGGATTAACATATACAAAAACATCTTTAAACAAACTATACCCCTAAAATCAATGTTCGAGAAGCTATTAGAAAAGCGCACGAAAACGACAAAAAGTAACACTGTGCAATGGAAGCGCTCTGACCCCCGTTGACGAATCTGCTATACAATGAAACCACTGGAAGCGACTCCCGTTCTGGTGGAGGAGGCTTATTGGATAGTGATGTATTGTATGGTGAACAAGAACTCTCGGCTCTGTAAAGTTAATCCGATTGAGCTTTATCAAATAAATTAATAAACCAGGGTGTCTACTACCTGAAAAAACCTGGAAAACCGGGAATTTACAGGGAATTTAATTTTTTCTGGAAAAACCTGGAATATTCAGGGCATTTTGGTTCCACTCAGGGAGTTTTCAAATTATCACTATATTCGTTATTCAAAAGATGTTTTTCGTTCAGTTTCTTAACGGCACTGAACTTGACAAGCATCTGACAGGTAAGACAACGTGTGCGAACGAGACAAGTTCATTCAGAGAGTCTTGTCACGCTCGTTCTGCGCTGATTTGTATGTGGAGGATCAAAATCGTCGTAAAAGGAAACAGTCGAAGAATAGAGACAACCGTCAAAAGGAAGCATACGAAGGATGTATCGTATAAGAATAAGCATGCCAGACAGCAGGTCTGTGAGCCTACATAGAATTTTTTGAGCTTCAGAGAGGGTCGGAGATCTACTGAGAAATTTGTTGAGCTTCAGGGTAGTTCGTAGATCTTGAGAACAGAACAAAATCACAAGAGCGGTCGTAGATCTTCAGATAAATGTTCAAAGAAATTTTCAAAACTTCAAGCAAGCAAAAATAATTTCAAATCAATTTGTAAAACTATAAGCAAAATTTTGCAAATCTTCAGGGAAATTCGCATAACTTCAGACAAGTCCAAGAATCTACAGTGAAATTTAAAGTATTTCACAGAAGTTTGGAGATCCTAGAAACATTATTCAACAACAGAAAAGTTCGTAGATTTTTAGAACAAAGCTACAGGACTTCAGAAAGAATCACAAGAATCTCAGAAATGTTAATGGATCTTCAGTAAATATTTCAGAACTTCAGGGAAGTGCGGCGATCAAAAAAAAAATATCTACACGATTTCAGGAAAATTTGTAGATCTTGAGAAAGACATTTAAAACTTCAAGGAAGCTCAAATATTTTCAGATAAATTTTGACAACTT